CCTCCCTCACCACCGGTGTCCACCAGGTGGTTCTTGGGTTACCGCCCTGACAGGCACCCACAAGCTTTTGGCCACAGCCATGCCTGGCAGCTTCCACAATGGAGGTTTTGAACAGGGTCCATTCAGACTCCATGTCTCCTACCTCCTGCCGGACATGAGAGAGCTCTCCCGGAGGTGGGAGTTTAAATCATTCCGAACAGGGGCCTCCGGCAGTCATTCCCAGCACACCCTCGCTATTCGCTTGGGCCTACCGGGTCTGACCATTAGTCTTCCCTGCCATCTGATCCAACTCACCACCAGGTGGTGATCAGTCGACAGCTCAGCACCCCTCTTCACCCGAGTGTCCAGAACATACGGTCCCGAGTAGATGAAACGACAACAAAGTCGATCATTGACCTTTCAGCCAAGGAGCTCTGGTACCACGTACACTTATGAACATCCTTGGGTTGGAACTTGGTGTTCGTTATGGACCATCCATGCCTAGCACACAAGTCCAATAACAACTCACCATTCGGGTTTAGATGGGGCAGGCCGTTCTTCCCAATCACGCCTCTCCAGGTCTCCCAGTCATTGCCAACATGAGCATTGAAGTCTCCCAGTAAGACTATGGAGTCTGTAGTCGGGACCCTTTCCAGAACCCCGCCCACTTGCTCCAAGAAGGCCGAATATTCCGACCTGTTGTTTGGTGCATAAGCACACACAACAGTCAGAGTTTTCCTCTCTGCGATTTTAATACGCATTGAGGCGACCCTCTCGTCCACCGGGACAAACTCCAACTGTACTGCCGCCAGCCGGGGACTCGTGAGTATCCCCACACCCGCCCGGCGCCTCTCACCTTGTGCAACCCCGGAGTAGGAGAGGGACCAACCCCTATCCAGGAGTTTGGTTCCAGAGCCGATACTGTGGGTGGAGGTGAGCCCAACTATATCTAGTTGGTACCTCTCAACCTCCCGCACAAGCTCCGGCTCCTTCCCCCCCAGTGAGGTTACATTCCACGTACCAAGAGCCAGTTTCTGCCGCAGGGGCCTAGGCCACCAAGGGCCCCCCTGCAATCTCCCACTGCCTGTACGGCACTGCACCACTCCCCCATGCTGGACCTTGCGGGTGGTGGGCCCACATGGTCCCCCCACGTTGCCTCTTCGGGCTGAGCCCGGCCGGGTTACGTGGGCTGCCCGGCCACCAGGCGCTCGCCGAGGGACGCTACCCCCAGGCCTGGCTCCAGGGGTAGGTCCCGGTGACCCTCTCCCAGGCAGGGTACACGATGTTCTATGCCCGTTTTTCATGGAGGTTTTTGGATCGAGTTAGTCTGGGTCTTCACTCCAGACCTGTTCGCCCTGGGAGACCCTACCAGGAGCATGTTGCTCCCGACGACTTAGCTCTGAAGATCCCTAGACCACACAAGCCCTTCCGCCACGACAAGGCCCTGATCCAGGAAGGGCTCCCGTTCAGTGAGAAGGAATTCCAGCGGCCTGCACAGAACCTTGACCTCAACTGTAACTGGAACATTGATTGCGAGTCAGGCCTTTTCACTCGACATCACAAAAGCTCTTATGACTGAATGGGCACAAATCCTCACAGATACACTCCAAAGTCTTGTGGAAAGCCTTCCCAGAAGAAGTTGGGCTACTCCAAATTAATGCCCATGGTTGTGGATCGGGATGTCCAGCAAGCTTATTTAGGTGTGATGGTCAAGTGTCCTGTAAGGACATTAGATAAAATATGGAACATGTAAAAGTTTTTGGAACATGTAGCAGGCATCAGTTTCAAAATGATGATATATTTACAAAAAATATTGAAGTATTACAAATAAAACATCTTGTCTCTATACAGTTTTTATTTAAATAAAGGTCAAGCTACAGATGTTTTCCTTTCTCAGCTACAGATGTTTTCCTTTCTCAGCTACAGGTGTTTTCCTTTCTTCACTCTCATCTGCAATTAACTTTCTCTGTCCTCTCTCCTCCAGGCCAGCAAGATCTTCCCCACCTGCCCCCTGGCTGACAGGTGTCCTGCGCAGCAACCGGCAAGAGCTAAGGAAGGCTGAGAGAAGGTGGAGGAAATCCCAGCTTGACTCAGATCTTCACTCCTACCAATCTCTCCTTTCCAAGTTCTCACTCGAAGTTACTGCTGCAAAGTCATCTTTCTACAGAGGGAAACTGGAAGCATCAGCATCTGATCCACGCAAGCTCTTCAACATTTTCTCCTCTCTCCATCAAGCATCAAGACTTTTCTCTGTACTGGCACCCAGGTGGTGGAACAAACTCCCACTGGCTGTCCGAACAGCAGAGTCTCTAAAACGCAGTCTTCAAACGCAGACTGAAGACACGTCTCTTTATACAGCACTTAAATGAGCACTGAGTTAAGTAGTCATTGTAATGTATGGTACTGCACTTATTCAAAGATACTTTCTCTAGATAGACAAAGCACTTTTTGTAAGTCGCTCTGGATAAGAGCGTCTGCTAAATGCTGTAAATGTAAATGTAAATGTAAAAGTGAATTTACAAAAATATAGTGTGCTATAGTACATATTTCGAATTTATATACAAAACATATTTGGACATCTGCATCATGCATTAAATTAATTGTAAAAAAAAATGTTATTCCAAGCATTTATTTTACACAGACCGTTACTTTCAAAAGACAGCTGGTGTGTTTCAGATTGTTTATCCAGCTAAAAGATCCACTTTTGACATCGAAGCATCCAAAATGCCTTTTCTCAATGGCAAAATGGCTTTTCTCCTGACACAACAGTCCACTTTCAGCTTAATGTTGTGCTAAAAGTATATTTCTCTGAAACAAACACGCTAAACATGTTATGAGGTAACATATCCATCTATGCTCTTTCATAGCAACTGTAGAGAGATTAGAAATTACAAAAGAGATTACAAAATGTTGACTTAAATTCCATTCAAGCTAATGAGTGCTAAAAGAGTAACTACACAATGCTAGGATTCAAAGCTATGCTTCCCAGCTGGACTGTGCTGTTGAATCTAGAAAGCGACAATAACAAATTTGTCACCTTGCTAGCATTAGTTTGGCTACACAACCACAAAACCTACAATATAAATATCATTTCAAATTTAAAGTTGTGTGTAGAATAATTTGTGTAAAGCTGTGTGTAGAACAACTTTTTAAAGATGTGACGGGAGCTTTTTCAGTCCTGAGAGGTTCATATGTACACAGAAGTTACAATAGCTTGGTAGAAGCATTTTGCTTGATTAACCAATCATTAATCACATTTTACTTGAACCCGTTACTTATCACTAACATACACAAGCCATAAATGTGTCATGGCAGATGTCACATACTGTTTATTCCGATTATGTCATTAAAAACGACCCACTACCAATTTGGTCGGCAAGCTGTAACTCTAACTACGCTCTCATATAGCTTGTCTAGTCACTGTTGCTGTAGCTGCAACCCTGCAGACGGATGAAGACCAAGTAAAATAGACCAGAAAAACAGGAACAGATATGTGGACACTTTTAGGTAGAGTCTCCAGAAAATGCTACGATTAGAAGATGTGCTTGATTGGTGGACTGGATCTGTATAACCTACATTTCTCTCAAGTTCAGAACATGCCAGTGATTAGATTTTACAAAAACTAATAAAAGTGGCTGCCAATACTGCCACTGCTCTTAAATAATAAACATAGTAAACACAATTAAGAGTTGACATCATCTTAGCCAGCTTGTTATTCGAATTTTCTGTTCCACTTTAAATGGTGCAGCAGTTAAAGACGCCTTATACGTAGAACAAATTTCAAAAATTTCGCAAAAAAAGAAGCCAACATCAGGTCAGAGAAAAAATTGTAGACATCCAGTTTATAAATGCATCCTTGATCAGGAAATACTCTAAACTTTCGCTTGAAGATGTTTAATGAGCAGCAGAGCAAAGCTGTAAACAGCAACTGGTGCTGCTAGTGTTGAACAGGTTCACTGGCTGATCTAATGCTGCTTCCCAAAGCACATACTTCCATACCAATAAGCGCCCTTCAAATAGTACTGCACTGCTTTTTACATAGTATTTAGTATGCTAGTATGAGGTTTAGAACACAGCAGAAGTAAGCAGGAAATCTGTAGAGGTCAGCTTTTATTTGTTAACACATCAGCAAAATATCTAATAAAAATCAAGGCAGTACGCTCAAATATATGGGTTAATACGCTTTAAAAATAGTTTTAAACTGAGTATTTACCCCCAAAAAAGTGTTACTGCTTTTATCTCATAGCAAACCGCCACTGTGCTGCTCAATGAACTTGCCTAGCAAAATGGTGGGAGCACAACTGCATGCCGTCATCAGAATACTATATATTAAGTGTCACAAATATAGAAAAAGAGAAGAGATCAGGGGGCAAACACTTTTTCATGCACTGCACATTCTTGTGGAACATGCTGCTGAGTGAAACAATGCTAACACCGAGCTTTGATTTACATACATACATGTCAAGAGCTTTTAAACTCGACAAAGGCACGTTCAAGGACAGTGGAAGAGGCCGCAATCTGACTTTGAAGATGAAATGAAGTGACGGAATCAAAGCTCACTTGGTTCTGTCTAGTAGCTTTTGATATAGTGCCCTCCATTACTGGTGCCCTTGAAAAATATCTGTGTAAAAAACAAAAGTGCTTGCCCCGACCCTATGATGAAAATACGAGAGAAATCTCACCTTTTAAAATATTCAGAAAAAAATGACATGCTTCCATTCATCTTTTGCCATTTGTCTGCGTATGAAAACGGACTTGTGAAATTTGAATGGGAATATGTGCTAGAATGGCAATGAATCAGAAGGTCACCTAGATTTTCTTTGGAAGTATAATGACCGTGACTGCATTCTTTGAAAAATGTTTTTCTTTGAATCATTTCCGCTCACCGAATTGCTAGATTTCTCCCATATTTGTGGCGTAAGATCAAACTCATAAACAAACAAAGCCTTTTTAACATACCTGGATGCTGTATATAGAACAAACACCTGCACATACATGCATACTTGCAGACATACACTCACCCCATCCTATTAGTGTGAAGCCCCAGAGGTACTTGGAGTCAGAGAAGAAGGCCATGAAGATGAGGCTGTGTAGGTAGAGTCCTTCCACCAGTATCCAGTAATAGTTGGTTGCGAGGAAGTAGATGAAGAGCAGGACTGTGATTTTGCACCCCACCTGTTCAAATAAACCACATTGGTTTCAACCACTCATAAAACTATTCACCCAGTTACATTCAGTCAATACCAACTCAGGATCAATGTGCTAACTTAAAACGTGCCCTAATTCTATCGCTTTGTAAAGACAAAAGTTCTTTTGCTTTTAACTTGATGGACCAAAGAAAAAGTTTTAGCTTGTCAACATTCACTCTCTATAAATGGTTCCTGCTATTTCCAGCCCCTGACTGATTTGGTCTAACGCTGACTTAATTTATTTTACCAGGGCTCTCCTTTTCTAAAGTACTGCAGTGCAAAACTCTTTAATGAACTGCTCCTAGAGATCTACCACCCTATAGAATTGATCTCCAGCTTTAAAATAACACAACTCAGGCAATCTTGGTCTTCATGGGCCTCTGCACTGAGTGCAGTGTGGCAGAGTCAGGCTGGAAGTAGAGCTGCACAATATATTGTTTGTTAATCATTATCACCAGGCAGAGACAGCCCAGGGGGTCTTGAACCACTGCCCTTTTGCCATCTTGGTCAGCATGTATAATAATTGTGCTTTATGGTCTCCTTTGTTCAAAATCTGATCCAGTGACTCACAATTTGCTCAGCCTCTCCCCAGGAACAGAGCTTGTGCATCAATTTGGGTTTCATGAGATTTATTGCTCTTGGGCTCCCCCTCTGGTTCAGTACCTTTGGATTCAGGCCACCTTTGGGATAATTTGCCTCGGTCAACTCTGACCAATCACAGATATACACTTTGACACAGTGCTGGAAATAGAGCACCGATAACTGAACATTTAAATTGCATGATTGTGTTAAAGGCAAATATGAATGATTTGTGCTTAATAAAGACTCTATAAAAGGAGGGTAATTTGATTAAATGTGTACTGTCCTACAGGTCACCCCCTCAAATTTCCTACAGATGTAAGCCGGGTTACCATTTAAACGTTTTGCAAATGTTATGCGCATTTATGAAATTTCGGCAACCGAATTAAGTCATGATAATACAGTTATGTGAAGAAATTTTAGATCACATGTGTCAGGCTCCGGTCCTCGCGGGCCATAACACTGCAGACTTCAGCACACTGCCTCAGTAAACACACCTGATTCAGCTAATTAGCAAGCCCTTCATAAAACTGAATTCAGAGTGTTAGATGAGGGTAAACGCTAATCTCACAAGCACTTTGGCCCAGAAAGTCCCCAGTTTGACATGCCTGCTTTAGGTGATGCAGGCCACCATGATTAGGGGCTGTGAGATGAATGGATTTAACTTTGCTTTAAGCAAAATTATCTTCACAGTCATTTACCATGACTTTTATGATTGTTTGCAGCTCAGAGAAGCCAGGCAGAGCTAGCAATGGCCTAAAAATGGCTTAAATCTTGTGCCACCCTGACAACGTCCACTTCGCATCTTGGAACGCAAACGTACCAGACAATACTGGGAGCACATTGTGCAGAGCCAAGCTCCAACAAGCTTTGGATTAGGCATGTCAGAATGTGGAAAGCAGTCTTCGAAAAGCTATTCACTATGATTGGACCATCTGTAGAGGCCAATCGTCTGTCACTGACAGCTTAATATGTCATTATTTTTTCAAAAAAACACTTTAGTTGGGTGTTTTTTTTTTACTTTGAGGTTTTTCCATTCACTTTAATCAGTATTCTCAAAATTTGCAAAAAAACGGTGGATGGAAAACCTGCCATAGTCTCTAATTTGAATATCATTATAGGTGGGGATTTCAACTGTTTCATGAATCCGCTGATCTTAGGCACTTGGTTCCAAATCACTGGCCTTTGTGAAAAACTAGGATATGTGGATATCTGGAGGACACTTCATCCTGCAGACAAGGAATATATTTTCTTTTCAAATCCACAAATGTTACACAGGAATTGACTCTTTTACTCCTAAATAATTCTTACAATATGTTAGTTCCTGCTCAATTGGCAATATTATTATCACTGATCCTGCTGCAGTGTATCTTTATCTTACTTTTAAGGATATATCAGCAAAGCCTAGGCAATGGAGACTTGTTCTTAAAGACCACAATTTTATAAGTTACTTTGCATCAGAATTTAAGTCATTCCTTTCTATGAATTTCTCATTGGCCCATCTCTGTTCTGAGAAACTTCCAAGGCTTATGCCAGGGGATTAGTAATATCCTACCATGCTAAAACCTGCTAAAAGGTGTAAAAATGCAAAACAGCACCACTTATTAGAAACAAAAATAAAAACAGCTGAAAAAGAATATATTAAAAAACATGCAACAACCAAATGAAAAGAAATCACAGTCCTGTGTTTTACATTGGACTATTATTATATTAACACAGAAAGCTGGTGAAAAACTAAGATTTATTTATTATTACGTTATTCAAACATGTGAATAAGACACCTAAATACTTGCCGTATTACGTAAGAAGCTAGCCTCGTAGTCTGTTGCTGCAGTGATTGATGAGTCAGGATGCCTCTTTTCTAAACCTAAAACAATTGTCTTTAGAAATTTCTATAAACATCTCTATAATATGAAACAAAGTAACAAGGGGCAAAGTTTAATGAAAGTTTTTTTTTCTGTAAGCTTGACCTCCAAACTATATCAAAAGAACAAAAGCAGTTTCTTGAAGCACTAATCTCCACATGTCCAGACTGCTCTAGACTAGAAAGGACCCTATCTCTGATAGGTTTAGTAGTGAATTTTACATAGAGTTTTGCGATCTTTTAAGAGTGCCTAGGTTAGATATGTTTAATCTAAACCTTTGGTGAGGGTCTCCTTCCACAATCCTTAAGAGAGGCCAGTCTCTCACTGATTTAAAGGAAACGTCCCAATGACCCTGCCTCTTACAGACCAATCTCACTTCTGAATGTAGATATAAATTTCTTATCCAAAATTCTGGACATGTAGAAGGCCTCTTACGTTCCATAATCAGAAGTAATCAGACCGGTTTCAGGTCGTAACTCCTTAAATAACATTAGAAGTTTGCTAAGTATTATTCAGCGAAGCGGACGATGGATGGTCTGGTGATCTCATTAGATCACCAGACCATCCATTGAATGGCCAGACCTGATCCATGCACTTAAACAATTCGGCTTAGGTGACATTATTGTCAAATGGGAAAAAGTCCTGTATAATGATCTGATGGTGGCAGTCTTCACTGGTGGTTGCAGGTCTGAAAATTTTAGAATTCTTAGAGGAAACATTCAGAGGTGTTCATTATCACCCCTACTGTTTTTAATAGTGATTGAACCACTGGCTGAAGCCATCAGGCAGGACCCTGCAATATGTGGATTGGCTGTTGGTCACAAATTACACAAAATCACTTTATATGCAGATGACGTTCTGTTGTTTATTTCAGACCCTGCTGTATCTGTCCCTCAACTGTCACTTTCTCTGGATTCAAACTGTCACCTTCTCTTGATATTGAAAATGTCTATGACAGCAACTATTGCTTTTCCCATCAAGTGGTCTCTCTTGGGATTTGTTTATCTAGGCATATTTATTACACCAAAATTTGAACAGATGTATAAAGCCAATTTTGACCCACTGCTTGACCTTGTAAGGTGGAATACTCTTAGGCTGAATTTCACCTCTGAAAATGAATGTTCTCCCTCATTTACCCAATTTAGATGCTTCCCGTTATATTCCCTCATAAAACAGTGAAAAAACTGAACAGCTGGTTAAGTTCTTTTATCTGGAATAAATGAAGATCCCTAATTAAGATGTCTGTGTTACAACTGTCAAGTGATGGAGGAGGCTTAGGTCTCCCAGGAATTAAAATATTACAGTTAAATGACTACCTATGTTACATATTGGAGTGGGTATGCGATGATGGCTTCTCTATGTGGCTGGATATTGAAGCAACCATCCAGTAACAGTCAATGAAGTCAGAGCTTGGAGAACAGTTGAAGTATTGAACAAAGAACTACAGTAACTTGCTTTTTACTCCAATCACTGGAAATCGCTAGATTTCCTGCCTGGCGTTTTGGATGTGGGATTTAAACACTGGGCCTCTAAGGGTCTGTCTTCTCTTTGTGATTTGTTTGAAAATGCTGTTTTAATGGCCTGTAACCCTTTAAATAGCCATGGCCTGTTGGTGGGCAGAAAGTTTCATTACACACATCTAGAACCTAAGAATAGCTCATCCAGATTACACTAAAGTCCATGTAGTTACTACATAATAAGACTTAGTATGTAATAAACTGGGGGATTAAATGTCTGAGGAAGTGTCTGAATACTTGTTCCAATACTTGCTCACTGCTTCTCCAGGAGCAGGGATGTGCATCCTGAAAGTTGGTTTGAATGCTCTGAACACGTGAAAGGTTAATACAGTCTTACTGCACTACAATGTTCTTGTGGAAGCTTGACGAACTCAATTATATCCACAGATTGTTACACATTTCCTGTAAATGCTAGGCACTGTGGGAGACCACTAGGTCTGCCTGCAGAGTCTATCAGTTGAAGCTTCTCCTGAAACACCATGAGACATTCAGAAGAGGAAGCCTTTCACTGCTGAACTTACATACTGAGTCTTGTCCAGAGGGCCGATGGAGACAGTGTTAATGTCATCCATGAGCATTGCGTCATACTGCTGCACTCCGCCGTTGGCGTACACCACTCGGTCCTTCACGAAGATGCTGATGGCACGTAGCATGAAGGACACAAACAGGTGCATGTGGATGTAGTTCCTGGTGCAGTGAAGACGCCTGTGTACAAGATGCAGAGGGGAAAAAGCTCTATAATCAAGCCAAAGCAGTACTAATGTAATCTTTGTATGTCATACTACTTTATATGCTCTCCATGACTATAGTGTACATTGTCTGTTAATTGTAACATAAAGACAGCGGACCCGACCTTATAGCTCCACTGTGCTGGTGTTAAGACTGTATGAAAGCAGTTTGTATTAGCTATCCTATAGAGCATGAGTTTTAAACTACCAGTCTGTGGGCTCGATGTGGATTCATATAGCCACAAATGTAGAATTTATCCTTAAATCACGCCTGCACCATTTTTTTCTTTTTTTTTAATTGTGGCGGGTAGATTTGTTTTACCCACCAGAAGCTGCGGCCAACATCAGGTCCCTAACATAAGCATTTAAGTAAAAGGCACCATTCAAACTAAGAACGCTGCACACTGAGAAGGCATGGCTGTAATTTAGCTATATGTCACTTAACCATTATTACAATTCACACTGATAGCTAGTTAAAGCTGCCTTTGTGGATTCATTCATGGCACAGCAGTAAATACAATGTGTCAGAATTAATAAAAGACTGGAATCATCAATCAAAACCACTGACAGCTCAGATTTACTCACTCTCCAACAACTTCCTTCACATTCAGCAGAAATGCAAATGCTATCATTTGTAATAAATTCCCATTTAATTTAATTTAAATTAAAAAAAAAACTTTTCCTGGCTCCCCTTGGACAAGACCGCCCAGGTAATGAGAGTTTGAGACCCCCGCTCTGGAGCTGCATCAGTGGTCAGTTTCTGACTGCAGAGCTGCTCTTAGATGGACATTTTTGGGGGTTGGACCAATCTCAGACTAACATTGACACTGACATGTATAAAAACCCTGGTAACACTACTGTACACACACCACCATGTCAGTGTCTGCTGTGATTGGTCTACCTCCCAAATAATATCTGGTCAACAGCGACCGAGTGGTCAGAACCTGACCAATGATGAATAAGGCAGAGGGCAGATGACAAACTGCTTGACAACAGATGCATACATTTTAGGATGTAGTTGTTTCTAATAAGGTGAACAGTAAATGGAGAGTATGCGTCTGATTACTGTACAGACAGATGCAGACGAAGCTTTTAGCCTCCACACGGTTACTAATTGGCTGCGGCATGGTACCACCCACTCACGATGACCTGTACCTCTGTCCTGTTGCATAATCAATGCCTGTTTACACCGCCCCTGTACTTCTTTGATCCTGTGTGAAGTCTTGCTTTTGTTCTAAACTTAATCTGAGTTTATCTGTTTGTAATTCCTACTTTAGTCGTGCCTCCATATCTAGACCTACAAGAACTGATTCGTCACAAAAAGTCTCTCTGCTGCATTCATGAGCTTCTCTATGTGTAAACCCAATGGGAAAGCCTTAATAAAGCCTTATTGCATTTGCAACCTACCACCTGTAGCCCCCCTACACTGTCTGAAAATAGGGTCTTTCAGCATCCTCCTTAAATGTCCAATTGTGTATTGTGTATGAATTTTAAAAGTACACTACACTTACTTTCCCAGAGGAAAGCAGCATTTTTTCACACACTGCAAAAAATTACATCTTGGCAAGTGAATCTTAAATCTAGTCAATATGTCGTTTATTTCTCATTTTTATATTGTTGTAAGAATATTATAAGATTATTCCACTCCATTTTAGTTTTTTTTTAACTTGTTTTAAGCAACTACCTAGGGAAATTGTCTTATTCTAGTGGCAGATAATGTTGCTTAGTTCAGTATCTAAGGCAGATCATTTTGGTTGTTTTAAGAATTAAAGCTTAATTTTTTCTGCCAATAAGAATAAGACAACTTCACTAGATAAAATGACTTAAAACAAGTACAAATGTGTAGATATAAGTTAAATAATATTCATCCAACAATCTCAAAATGAAAAAATATTAGATATTGACTAGATGTAAGACAAATTCACTTCCCAAGACATCATTTTTGCATTGAACAGAATATTGTACAATTATGTTCCCTAACTAATGGTAACTAAAGGCGTACCACCCAAATTATATTGTTTGGACCCTGAAAGACACATTTTTTTTCTGAGAAACTGCATGTTTCTATGTAGATTATGATCTTTTAAGTGCTTTTTATACAAACCCAATTCCAAATGTGAAACAGCCTTTGTTGTAGTATTTCGAGCTTAACAATGTGCCACACGTTTTCAGTGGGAGACAGGCAGGTCTCTGATTACACAGCCATGCTGTTGTAACACATGGAGAATGTAGCTTAGAGTTGTCATGTTGACATGGACGTCCCTGAAAAAGACATCATCTAGAAGGCATGTTGCTCCAAAATGTGTTACTCCTTTGGCCCAGAGAGCACAACATCCATTATATCCATGACTCGTGAGACCACAATACAACAGAAGAGCAGGGCACTGGCTCACCTCTCCTACCACTAGTCGAACTCTCAGAAAAAATACTGTCACAAGGGTGGTACCATCAGGGGTACATCTTCACTACCTTTAGTTAGAGAACATAACAATACTTTTCCCCTGGGAAAAACTATTACAACTACTACACAGTTGGACCTTAATACCATTCTTATATCTTTGAGGGTACACTTACATTGTTTGTACCTTGATGAACATAAATGTACTCATACTTATATCCTTTTTTTCTGGCAGTGTGCAGGCGACCCCTGGAAACAGAGCCTCAGTATACTTCCTTTATATTTTGGGTATTAAATTAAAACCTTCCATAAGTTTGCTATTAGAAGGTGGGACAATTGAGAGAATGTTGTGGAATTACTACACTACATTACACGCTACATTATGAAACTGTCCTGTATTTTATTTATTGACTATTAACACCCACGCCGCTTAGATTTTGGCAAGACAGCTGCCTGTTCACGTCACCAAGATTCCATCATTTTGCTGACGCAAAAACATCTTCCAAGGGACACTGTGCTGAAAGGCTGCCAGTGGAGCTATTATAATGGTGTTAGGCCTCACTTCCTCCAATTTATCCGCTTCATATGCCTTATAGCTCTATTGGAAGAATTTTTTGGAAAGAACCACTTCAGTGTTCTCGAACACACAAGCACCTCTTGAGGGACTTTTAAGGCTCAAAAACAGGTGCAATCAGACACCTCACACTTTCCTCATGTGTCTTTTAGAATCCTGAAAATTGAATAAGAGGTACTGTCTTCATGCCAATGTTTTGATGTGTCATCACGGAAAGTGTGTCAAAGGAACCGAGATGTGGAACACTAAATTATAGGCAAGAGTGAGTGAAGTGCCATTACGGAACTGGCAGCACCACAGCCTGATAATGTGGTACCTGAAGTAGCCGATGATAAAAATGGCGACCATCAAAGAGCTGAAGGATACAGCATAGCCCACGGTGTACATGATGTGCAGCCTCTCAAAGAAGTCCCTCTAGAAGAGAGAGAGAGAGAGAGAGAGAAAGAGAAAGAGAGAGAGAGATTAAAACTGTCTTAAAACTTTTGAATGTTTTTTTTTTTTAATTTTTACCCAATTATCTCCCCAATTTAGTCGTCTCCAATTCCACCCGCTAGTTAGGACTCCCCCAGTCACACCATACTATCAACACTAGGAGGGTGAAGGCTAACACAGGCTTCCTCCGAGACCTGTGAAGCCAACCACCGCTTCTTTTCAAACTGCCGCTAATGCAACGTCATTGGACAGCCGAACGCGCTCGGAGGAAAGCGCCAACCGCCAGATCTGTTACGTCAGCTAACAGACGCCTGCGCTGACTAGCATCGCGTTGAGTGATGGGGGAGAAGGGGGGCCATCCTACCCACCCAGAAAGAGCGAGGCCAATTGCACTCTCTTGGACTCCTGGCTACAGATGGCTGTAGCATCACCAGGGATCGATCTCCTGATGATAGGGCCAACGCTTAGATGGTTGTGCCACGCGGGAGCAACTTTTGAATGTTTTTATGCAGGTGTATTATAATGCATGGCTCGAATTAGTTTTGGTTCTGCATTAGGGATGTGTATGGATTCTCAAGCACACAGTAAATTGTTCCAGGTGTTGGTTTTCGAATGCTGAAATCACCAATCACTAAATCACAGTATTGGGTATTTGTTATGCTGAGAAAATATGCCATACCATGACAGACCACAGCCACACTTCAAACGTGTTTTATGTCAAAAAGCAGCACTATGATTTTACTTCATAAATCACAGTTAAACAGATTCTAAAGCATATAAATGATGTTCTCTTATTTCTCTTAGTTCTCTTATTTTAATTGAAAAAAATAACCTTACTCAGTCAGAAAAAACAAGCTGTAGTACAGCATGTGTGCACTGTTGCAAGCTGCCCTGTAAAGACTAAAAAAAAAATCCCTGAAAGTCAGAGGTATCAGGTCGGACTCTGTGGGAGTTTTTCAGACCATGTCATATGTCTTTAAGTATTAACGTCACATGCACAGGCTCAAAAAAGTCCTGCTCGATGTTTTGGTCTCAAACGCAAGATCAACATTATACTGATGAAGTTATGATCACAGTAATAGATTGTTCACTTATATCCTCAGAAGACACGTCCTTCAGTAATTCTGACTGAGCTCTCTTTGAATCCCCTTTCAACATTCTTACAATCATCATCTTCATCTGCTCAGGGAAGGGGTCTGAAGCACAACGTAACAAGATATTCTCGCACATTATGTGTGCAGTTGCACATTTCCATCACAGAAGTCTCCAAAACCCCAAATCTCACAGGTTTCAGGGGCTGTAATTTGGTGATAAGGTTTAATATCACACTTTGCTTTGCAACTTGAGTGATAAGGCAGAGGTGGCGGTGAAGTCAGCAACCAGAACTTATAACAAAGAAAAGATGTTTTTCAGTTTTAACTTGTTGAATTCAGTGAATGAAGTCGCCCACTGTGGACAAAAAACCTCTTGTATAAGTCCAAGATCATCACCACTACTAGCCTCCGTTACCCTAGCGCAGTGATCAGAAGATTTTCCATGGTAATTTTTTTTTACAAAAATACAAGTTTTAAAGTGTGCAGCTCTAATGTGCACCAATTTACTGTATTATTATAGGGTAATATGAGGTGGAAAACCTCCTGAACCAAATATCCATACATCAACTCAAATATGAATATCAAAAATAGCAAGAATGCACAACTGTGTTCTGCATATCAGTGCTGTACAAAAAAACATGTATCTCCATTTTTTCAATTTTGTATTTTTGGCATAATTTGAACACAGAAACTGTCCATTATATGGAGTGACAATTTCATGATGAATGAACCAATAAAATGCTCCGAAGTCTCTTAACATTAATTTTGTATATAATTTTGCCTTCTCCATTTTGGAGACTGATGATTGATGAATGCTGACTTTAACTGTAACGTGAGGAAGAACATTTTGCTGTGGCCCCCTTCAAACAAATGAATCTGATGATTGTGAGCGCTTTGAAAGAGTTTTGAAAGAGAACTTGGTGAAGGACGTGTCTCCCAAGGATGTAAGTGAATGATCTACTATTATCATTGTATCTTCATCTGCACATTGTTGATTTTGCATTTGAGACCTGAACATCGAGCTGGATTTTCTTTTTGAGCCTGTTCATGTGACTTTAATATGTAAAGACATGATATGATCCAAAAAACCCCTGACCCAACATGTCTGACTTTCAAATTACGATTTAAAGGCTTGCAGCAGTGCACACACCATATTTTTGTCTGTTTGTTTTCTCCTGACTGCTACTTCTTTCAATTTTAACAAAAATCTTACACAGTATAGCTTAAAACCAAAATAAGAACATCATTTATATTTTCTAAAATCTGTTTAACCTAGATTTCCCATTTACTATACGTCCCTTATACCAAAACAGACTGCAAAATGCTGGTGGACGTGTGTGAGACGGTCCTCAATAAATAAGAGTAAAAGCAGGTAAACAGCTAAAAATGTTAATTAAATGTCTCTTGTCATTCATATAGGGACCTCCTTCAATTTTGGAATGTATTGCATAAAAAACAAAGAAAATGTGCCTGCATTTCTACAGCAAATAGGCTTCAGTTAGTAGACCACTATCATTACTGCTACTAAGTGTTGTTCGATTAGTGGGCTAACTTTGAGTTCACTGGCTGAGGAAAGCAGTTCGCACTCACTGATGCCAGCAACATAAATTAAACACTTTCATGTCATTTTATGCCCTATATTAACAGTAAACTGTCATACCCTACATCTAAATCAATGAAGCGTGAACCAAACAGCTCTTTAATTACAGTGTAAAATCTTTTTAAGAGCTTTTTATACGCTTACAGCACCCAACAAGCGCTAGACTGCGAGCATCCATTTGTTCCAAGCCCATACACTTTTATATGGGAAGCAGGAAGCTCAGAGCATTCTGAGTTTCCAGTTGTCATGACCACAAAAGTCCTATGCCTGAAGCAAATTTTAAACATTTTTTGTTACTCCGTGTTGTGAAAAAGAGGTCATGAGTCCAACTTTCATTCATTTTTGAACTCCGTCAACTTTTTGATCAACTTTGAAAAGAGTAGAAAATGCATAACTGAACAAAGACTTCAAGAAAACTGTGGACGTATGTGTAAAACATCACTCACTCACTTGTACATGCATTAGTTAAAAAAAAACATTTTAGGGGTTTTGAAAAATTTCTGGGACCTCCTGATTTTGCACTACAGCTGCTCACTAGCACCACCTGCTGGACAGCACCACTGCTGGGCAGCTTTAATCATTTTTTGTTACTTAAACATCATCCATCGTGACTGCTTGTATATAAGACCATAAGGTTGAAATCAAGCATGATCTTATTATATACACAGTATTTTATCAGAGTTGCCTGAAAGTGATCTAGGCTCATCTAAACGCAGTGTTATGCATGACTCTCTTCATAAATCGTCCTATTTTGAGGAAGCAGGAAACTGATAATGAACGTTTCAGTCAGACTTACTTTCCCTCTTTCCTTGCCTGGTGTCAGGAACCACAGACATTCGGAATAATTTACCCACGTTCTGTTCTCCACCGACACCCAAGATCCGTTCCCATCACACTTACGGTACGCAAAGCCTGCAAAGAAACAAACAGCAGCACCAGATAAATGATAAGATGTATAATTAAGAATAATCTTCTGTAGGGAAAGAAGCATGAGTTTGCTGTGCTGGAGAGATCAGTTGTGGGGTAAAGAGGACAACCGTAAGTACAGTTTTCCACTAAAACAAAAGATTAATAAGTATATTAAAATATACACATCAGCCATAATATAAAAACCACCTCCTTGTTTCTACGCTCATTGTCCATTTTTTCAGCTCCACTTACCATATTGGAGCACTTTGTAGTTTTATAATTACAGACTGTAGTCCATCTGTTTCTCTGCATACTTTGTTACCCCTTTTTAACCCTGTTCTTCAGTGGCCAGGACCCTCACAGGTCCACTATAGAGAAGGTATTATTTGGGTGGTGGACCATTCTCAGCACTGCAATGACGCTGACATTTTAGTGTGTGTTGCGCTGGTATGATATATATTTATAGGTCCTTCTATGACACTTTAAATTAACTAAAAGGTTAATTTCTTGAACATTTTTCATTTTCATCTGTGATTTTGCATTTTTACACAATTTGCACAATTTTATTTTATGTAGTATTCCTTCATTTCTATTAAATCTATGAATTATTAACTTCTGCCTGAAATACGTGCCAGGTCCTTGTTGAGTGGTAGAATGGCCCATATCTGTCTTAACAAAACCTCATCTCTCCAAAACAGTAACTTTACAGAAAAATTAAAAAAAACCTTCTTAACTTTGAATGGAAGTTAACAAAACAAGATTTGTTTAAAAAAAAAAAAAATTGGAACACTTCTATTCATTCATTGTGAATTTGTGAACACATTGTAAAGAAAAACTGGCATGATCAAATTCTGTAAAACAAACAAAAAAAAAAGACAGAAACAGCTACAAGGTTTTGTTCTAACATGTTTAAAAATGTGACAGTCATACCGTTGTGATTGAAGTCGTAGACGTAGCTGGGGCATGGCACTTTGGTAACGATCCCTAAAGAGCCCTGAGGCCAGCAGATGAGCCCATCCCATCCAGGAGCACACACTTCATCTATACAAACAGAGATGTACACACACCAAAACACACACAGTCAAAACACAGACGTCTATCTATACAGCTGTACGCAAAACCCCAACTCAAATGATATTTTTAATCGATTTTCTAAGTAAAAAATAAGTCAACACATCCAGGACACAAACAGAAATGCAGTACTGTATATACAGATAGTTAGCAGCTAAAATCAGAAGTCATATGACCAGCAGCAGAACATTCTAGTTGTGTATATTTCTGAAATCATTATATACATAATATCAGTTGTGTGTATGTGCATTTGTGTGCATTTATGTGTGTGTTTTAATGTTAGCAATTATGTACAAGGTAGGCTTAAAGGATTCACTGCCATGGTTACAAATATGCAAATCCGCAAAAAAATAAGCATAATTCTGGAAATGACTGCTGTACGTCTGTTTTGTTTTGTTTCTAAAACAGGTAATCAATAAGCTATTCAATGTCATAGATTGTTTGTATCTAATTGCAGAAAGTGTGGGCCCTAATAGGCCCAATAACCCATTTCTGAGGCATTTGTCAGTAGAGTTTGGACGGTCTCAAAAGCCATTTTCAGAGTTTTCCTTCCTTCTTAGAATTATCTCTCCAGTGCTGGAAGAAGACTAAACGTATACAGAGACTCACTGCATGATTCCAAGTTCCATTTTCAGAAATATCTACAGCTTTGCAAACATAAACATAAACAAGAGTGGGTACATAAACAACGACGAAACTCATGGGAGCAGCCCTCGCTGGAACTGTTGTATTGTTACTAAAAATGATTCTAGTGTAAATGTTTGCTATTATTCCTTCTAAAAAATAGTATTTCTGCTGTTCTGTTGTAGCTTATCAAGTCCACTTCAGACATTTCTCAAAGTCAAAGTGGAAGTCAGCTTTACTGTCATTTCTTCTCATCCCATATGTGTTGAGAGAGTAATGTAATTTTGTTTCTCCACAACATGGTGCTACATAAGTACAAGTACATGGTGCGACAATAAGTATAATAAACTATAATAAACACAGACAAACACTATACAATAAACTCTTCTATGCCGTAAGCAATAACTATACAACTAAACAACCATTAAGCACAAAATAAAAAACATGGTAAACTAATGCATGCAACTGTAAGTAGTCTGTGTTTATGTGGGTGGATAAAGGAACGAAATTACTCTGGGCTTGTCAGGGTCCCTGGCCTGTCAGCCACCTCCCACGCCACCCCACTAACCCTGCTGTCCAGACCCTGTATCTTAAACACACAGCATGTATTATCAAGCTGGTTATGGCCAGCCTCAGTCAACATGCCTCAATTACCACAAAAAGTATCTGTGCTGACCTTTTCCATGGAAGTACTGATATGAAGAAAGAAGTACTGGTACCTTTGTAACCTTTTCCAGAAAAGAAAAAAGATGACAGCTCAACAGTCAGAAAACTTTTCTGCATGTTGGTCGTCTCATTTCCCCACTACGAATCACAACTTTAATCAGTGAGACTAGTGTTGCGCTGATATCGGTATCAGTAAAAGGAAAAACTGATACCTATGACTGACAAAACAAAGCATATATTTATATAATCCAACAAGTAAATTCCAGGCTTAGTATGTTTTATTTGTGACATAGAACATAGATTTTACCAAAATAAATTATTTATTTATTAGGTAATTGAGACTGCTTGAGACTGAGGACAGGTTAGTTAGGTTAGATATAGTTATAGTAGATCGTATCGGAAGGAAAAAAGTGGTATCAGTGCATCTCTAGAGATTGCAGAGAAACATGACTAGATCTTATTCAAAGAGAGCTGAGTTTTTGGTTATGGACAACTGATACTGAACAGGCAACTTTAAAATTTAGTCTCCTCTTCAAACGTGAAAGTTTTTCAGCACCTCCTCATCATCATGTGTGTGCAAAAGTCCAACCCCCAACAGCTGCCAAGCCATGAAGTAAACTAGAAAAAACTGAGGCTACAATGATGTTAGGGTGAGCCTCTTTCTGCACGCCCCCTAGTGACGAAATCAACTCATGTAACTTTAAGTGATATAATCAAATAATCAATTTTTCCCCGTAACTCTGTTATCAGATTAACAAGGACACTTTTGGTTTTATGTGTGTGAAATGTTGTGCTGAGCTGCTAGTGAGCAATGGGAGGTAAAAAGGGGAGTAGTGAGAACCCTCTGCTGTGAAAACCAGTCACACATGTCCACAAAGACGGCCGGGCTGTGATAAGACAGAAAGAGAAAGCACAAGTGTAGTGTTTCACTGCCACAGTAAACACAGCATTTTAACACAATAAAAAAAACACCATTATTAATGTTTATTTCCATTGAAATATATTCCATACTGAGAAAAAATGACCTGAGGGACCACCATAACAGGTGGGAATTGCATTTTATGGCTGCTGTGAAAAACAGCTACAGTCTTGTGAGACTCGGTCAGATGAAAACAAAACAGGCTTTGAGTGAATGGACTGTGACAATGAACAAGGGTCAGGTTTAGTTTTCTGATAGACTGAGTCACTGACATACCTCACAGAGCTCTCTTCTGTATGATCTGACAACCTCTGTTTATTCTCACTTATAAGCCTGTCGCCCTTATAGGTTAGCTGCACTACCCGCTGCATCCTAGAGGAGGATCAGTTCCTCTTTTGAGTCTTGGTTCCCTCAATTAACTAGCTCTTGTCACCTTGCCTTCACCATTTCCACTTAGAAGAAGCCCCAACAGCATCTTGTGGGCTGTTTTATTACTGTTACAGCTCAAAGTTTGCTAGATGACCCATTGGAGGGACATGAGGTTGAGACAACAAAATCATACACTTTGAAGCAGAGTTTGCCCAGCAAACTACTCCACCTTGACTGCTGATCAAGGCCAACAGAGCGATTCACCACCACTTTTAGTAAGAGTTAAAGATGCTTGTGACTTATGGGAATGGACAAACAGTCAAACTCAGCAGCAGAACCAATTAAAATCACCTTTTCAGCTTGGGGGGTGGGAAAATTTTCTAAACAGTAAAACTTTAAAGTTTTTGTTTAGTCTGAGGACTGCTGCAACCAATCCAGCAAAAAAATTTATTTAATGCACATCATTTACTGAAAATTACTATTTCTTACTGCTACTTTGCTAAACTAAGGTTTGATATTCTTCAATGAAGTTAGCTAGCAAAGTCTGCTCTCTGAATGGAACTACAGACATTATAAAGAAGGGCTGTTATTTCCACTCATACAGGGCTTTTATGTCTTTGAATGGGGATAAACCTAAGAAGTCAAAACTAAAAGCCACATTCTCATTTAAGCATTGAAATTCGTAAAATTCGACAGAAAACACAAATAGTCTGTAGAGTTTGCCTCAAATAATACACGAAAAGCGTGCTTTTTAAAGTTGTTCTGACCACTGTGCATGCACATATCTCCACAAAGTCGAGCAACATGAGCTCATTCTCATTTACTTTTCAACAAGTGAACTTTGTGTCTCCTCCTCCTTTATAATGTAAGGACAACTTTCAGCACTACGTTGCATATGAGGGAATTGCGTTACTGGCTAGCTCTGCTAATTTACTAGAAAGCAAGCTAAGGGCTACACAGCTCCCAACAACAAAAAAAAGGATCATGCACAATGGTCCTTAATCTAAATCTCAATATTAATCCAGACAAAGCAGTGATGATTAATTAAAGGAAAATTCCACTGAATTTTCAATATCTCTAAATAATTCAGTTGTTGAGATGTAAACAGAGTCATTTAGAGTGCTGTGATGTGAGATGGTGCTTTGCAGAGAAATGTATGGACACACATTCTTTTTTACAAAGGTGGTTATAGAACTCAGGGAGTCTGCAATGTAAATGTAGCCACTGTATTTACTATCCAAAACAACCAGTAAACCTTGATGATGATGATGATGATAAATCAGTGGTAAAAAAAAAAGAAAGTTTTTGTAAGGGACTGTTTTGCTTTTCAACTCTCTACCATAATAATCATAAAATAAATAAAAAAAAAAAACTTTACAGAACTACTGTAAAACGATGGCTCAGGCATCAGGCAACATTTTTAAAACCATTTTGTGTGATAACATTCTGTGAGGTACCTTTAAGAGATATTATACACTTCAGACATCTGGTTCCTATCACCACCACTGTGAACAATTCAGACTTGGCAAGATTCTCTATAACAGAGCATTTCACATCAAACTACTCTGAAAGATTTTGGTTACATCTTAAACATTCTATTATGAAAATATATTGGAAAATTTGTGGAATTCCTCTTTAGGTTTGCGTATTTAAGAAAGATCTGCTCCACGTTGTGTCCTTTTCCCTTTGTCCAATGAGTGTAACGTCTGTGCAATGCACTTCTGAGATGTGAGTAAGTCAGTGAGCACAAAGTAAAAATCAGAATTAAAACGCGGGGTCAATTTCTTCTTCACGCCCTCAGGGTTTTTATCCATCACCCTCAGCTTGATCTTTATGGGTCTGGACCTACATTTTTGTAAACCTGCCCCCTAAACTATACAAATAAATTTGAACTGAATTGAATCTATGAATCTTAAAAGGAAGTGCTTTAATACTCCAAAGGCACATGTCATGCAAGCTGTTCAGACACGTTTTAAGGAAATCCTTTTCTAAAAGCAGTACATAAGGCAGCAACTCGGCCAAGAATGAGTTGGAGAACGGCCAACACAGTTTATCGAGACAGCTTCCTGTAAAGGTGGATCAATTCTGACCTCAGAAGAAAAGGCTCCAATATTAATTTTTGAAGTTCAGCTCAATTGATTTGGATGCTTTTGTGCTTCTTTACACAATATTCATCCTGGACCTCCTCGGGTATTGATCCCATCTTCCAAAACTGCTGCAGAAAATTAAGCCCTGTCCCCCTTCGGAGTGCTCCACACTTAGCCATCATTGATCCAAAAACAAGGACGCTGTTCTCAAAAGCTGTAATGAGGGAGAGCAAGAGATGAGGCCAGAAGTGATCTGTCCTCAGTGTAGGACATTTTATGTGCTAAAGAGAGTTGCAGGCAGCATC